CGGCAGGATGACAACGACGAGGGGGTAAAAAGTCTGAAATAAGGTGTTGCTTTACATGAGTCAGAAACATGTATCCTGTAATTATGCTCATTTAGCTCTGTTCCATCTTATCTTGGGTGGCGGGAAGGGAAGTCATGTTAAAGTGTATCTACAGTTAGCTGTGTTGGTATTGTCCCAAATAAAAGAGGGAGATAAAATTATGGATGAAAGAGAAGAATCATCTTTTTTTTTTCTCCCCACTTGAATGTTAGTGACTCTTTGTGATGACCAGAGTGCTTTTTCACAGTTTGATTTAGGGCATGCACAAGCATTTACTGCTTTCAGACCTTTTCATTTATTTAAAAAAATGGAGGGGGAGGAAGGAAACAAGAATAAAACTTGGAAAACAGAAAGCTTATTTAACAAGATGTAGGTGCCCAGGTGTGAGAGTTGTGAGCTTGAGCAAGCTGTCTTTCAGATGCACTGGTACTTGGAGATATGTAAGGCATGTAACACTACAGTGCTTGTTGGTGGGAGGTGGGCTGGGATGCTGCATCCTTCTTCGTATCTGAGAGCTCAGCGATGCCGAGTGGCGGGTGATTATAGCTGCTCCCCAGAGCTCCATTTGAAATGACGTTGGAAAGATGAATGTATCTTCTGCTTTATTATCTCATGTTCAACCTCTCAGTGACTCTTTAATAGTTGTTTTACTGATTAAGGCTGGTGGTGGCTCTGGGCACCCCTGTCAGTCTCTGAACTTCTTTGGAGAGCTGAAACCTGTAGGTCTGACAAGACACAACGAAATTCTGCTGTGGAGATGTATAGAGAAGCTCATACTCAATTTTCTTTTTTGATTTAGCTGGAGTTTTGCCATTTCACTCATTTGGCTAATTTTTCCTCAGAAATATGAGAGTTCTTCACTGAACTGGAACGTACCAAGTATAGATATTGAAACTCTCCAATTTTTTAACAGTGAAGGTAATTTCATGATAAATAATCCCAGAGGTTGTATTAGATTGCTTGTCATCATAAATTTTAAAATCAAGTTCAGATGTTTTCCTTTAATTTAACCACTGAATAATTTACCCACTAACCTTGCATTAGAAATAGGACCCAGCTCACTGAAATCCCTTACTAAGCAGATGAGACTAAATGATCCACATCTTAAAAATCTATGATTCCTTGTTGTACAATACCAAATCAGTAGACAATTGATTTTAAAATAGTGTAAACCTCTTTCCCCCCAGATCTACTTGCATGAATTCGCATCGATAGACCTCAGGGATTTTTTTTCATTTTGTTTGTACAAGCTAGTGGCTAGTATTGTATCATCTTTGATAATATAGTATCTGAACAGAGTCCTTTTCTTTTTAGGGGTGAGCCTATTTTAGTTACGAAGCACTGAGAGACCACACCGAGGACCACAGTGAGCTCTCTGAGTGCAAACGAGAACAGGGATGTGCTCAGGTGAATTGCAGCACTGGAGCTGCTCTTTGCTGGCCGAGGTGGAAATCAGAGTTTCACCACCCTCAGTGCTGTTGTTCCACAGTTAGTTCAAGTTACTTTCTCCATTTCAAATCTGACTAGCTGGTATTGAATGGCCACCCGCAACTCCCTGGCATGGAGGGGAGGTTTCCTGACCCGCTGGAGCATCCTCTTGATGATCCCCTCCTCCAGGGGCAGGCCCAAGCAATCTCCGGCTGCGTAATGGCGTGGAGAGGTGCTCCAGTGTGACCCGCCTGAGTGCTCGTAATTCCTCCCAGACTTCTGCCTCACCGCTTCAGTCTTAATATTTATTTTGTTTCTGGACTATAGCAGGCTAGATAGTGTCAGGCTGGTTCCTACTGAGAGCATTCATGATGTATTTCTCGGTGGCTACATGATTTCACATGGACAGGTCTTTAATTATGGGATGTTTATTTTGATTTAACGATTAATAATTAACTTCCCATTTTTTTAGTTGTAAATAATTGCTAGAGCCAGGCAGTCATTGTATATTAGAAGTTGGACCAATTGAGCGGAGCCAGTATTTGTTAATTGTTCCTTTCACACACATGGGTTTAGCAAGTGTTTAAGCTGCTCTGGGACATTAATTTTAAACACAATTAAAACAGCATAACCTATTTGCAATTATTCTCTGTGCATTGTTTTGATATTGATGGGTCCAGTTCTGAGCACAGTAATCAAAAGGAACCACTGTTATTGTTGATCCCGCAGATAAACAAATGCTGATTGCGTGCTGTGAACTGGTTAATCAAGTTTATTTAGCTTGTCGTTAGTGATTCATCCCAGTGACTGTGCTGGGGAGCTCTTTATTTGAGCCAAACAGTATAATGGTTCTGGCTGTCTTCAGTTTCTTAGCTGCTAAAGGAGCTTCAGTAATTCTTTTAAATCGACTTAGGTAACATCTTCAGGAATGGCATTGTTACATATATTAATTAAATCCAGTTTGGGACCAAGGACTTTTCCTTAAAGTGAGGACATGCTTTGCGACCTTGCTGTCCCAGCTGTTCCCTGTCCAGGAGCAGAAGTGATTATGTTTCCTCTGAGGCTGGGTGGGCTCTTTTGTTTGGTTTGATTTTGATGATACTGAAGCATGCCATGTCTAGTCTCACCTTTTGCCAATGCTATTCGAGAGACTACTTCCGCAGCTGCAGAAGTTCTCCCAAGGTGACACCCCGTTTTCAAGTCACACGTCCACAACCAAATACGTAATCTCTCTTAGATCATCTCTGCATTTTCTCTGCATTTTGGGGGTCCGTGTTGCTCAGGCCCCTTAGCAGCACCAGCAATACCATCTACTGTTAGTCTCAGCAGTGGGAGCATCTTGCCGTGGCCACAAAAGCGTCAGTCTCAGACCAGGCTGGCACCGTCCCAACGGACAGCAGGCTGCTCAGCAGGACACGGTGGGGGGGGGTGGTGGTGGTGATGGTCAAGAGATCAACTCTCTGTCTTGTGCTCGTGGCTGTGGAAAATAATGGTGCTGGCTAAAAGAAGATCTTTTAATGGAGTTTTTTTTTTTTTAGTCTTAAACTAATTTTATGGGTGTTTTTCCCCACCATGGATGGAGGTAAAAACCTCCTAAGGGGCTAGAGTGGATTGATTTTGATCTTATTAAGGCTCTTGGTACACACTGTACCAACCTCCAGAGCTAACCCTGCTTTTGTACAAAGCTGCAAAAGCACCTTCCTTTTAGGCATTTTTAGGCAAATATTTTTTGTGCTTTCCATTGCATTATTTCAGGAAAAGATCTTTTTAAATGCCCTTAAGTTTCCTAACTGTCAATTTCTGAGCCCTGTGTGCAGGTAATGTCTTAGTACAGCTTTCACGTTGCTACTCCAGGCAACCACACTGGCTTTCTTTTCCCATCGGGGGTTTCTGAGTTATTATGCATTTCTTCAAGTTGGTGGTGTTCAGTGATGACTATTCCTGTAAGAGCCCTCTTCTCCTTCCAGCTGGCTGTGAGTGTAAGTTGCAAGAGGCTCATCAGGCTTGTCCAGACTCTGGAAAACCTCAACTTAAAGGCACATTCCTCCATATCACACAAGGCAACACCAGATAAGTGGGATGGCTGGCCATCGATTCTCCTCCAAAAATAGTCCACAATCAGAATGAGCAGGAGTAACCCAAGGCCAGTAAAAACACTACTCTAAATACAGCGTGTTGCAGGGCAACTACAGGAGTATTCTGCTGGGAGCGCTGTACTGCAGGCCTTAAATAGCAGTGCTAATGTTTAGATTGTATTTTCATCTTTTCTGTGTTTTCCATGCCAGATTTCTGGGACCTTTGCCAGGTTCCAAGACTATATAGAATTAATTGTTAAAAAGGAAAATAAATATTTCTTAAGTGCTAGGGAATATTTATGTCTGATCTAACGAACAACAGTTTTGTTCATTTATCAGTTGTTAATTGCCGTTTACTGAAATGGTTCTTCTGTCTGGAAGGGGGAGGATTGGGGCACGAGGAGGGTGATTCTCCTTAAGCTTCTGTATTGAATTTATATACACACAAAACATTTCTGCATTCAATAATCTAAGTAGACAGGATGACATTTCTGCCAGATAGAGATGTAGAAGGAAACGTAGGGGAATTTTCCTAGGCTGTCTGGACTGGATGGTTGAGAGGTCATTGCAAGCAATTTAGCTGATGTTGCGTTGCAGTCAGAGTTGAAGAAAGCTTGGAAGACCGTATTATGCTAGGTCTGTTTAAAAAGACATCCAAGATGCTAACTGTTATCTGGTGTTGCAGTATGAGGTTGATTTAAATGAGAAATTGCATATTTTTATTAATACCTCAGTTATGCTTTGTTCTTAACCTAATTCAGAAGCTGTCCATGGATAAACAATCTGGTCTCGATGCTGTAACTCAACACTCGGTTTATTCCACCATCTCTGCTCCGCGTTATCGTTTTGGTAGACTAATTCGGTCTGATATTCTCCCACTAAATCAACACGTGTGGCATCGGCTGGAATCTGTGGGATTTGATCTCCTCCTTCTCAGCCACTTTACATTTTTGCCTCGCAGCCTGGCGGATCTATTGATCCTCACGCAGGCTTCCTGCCTCTGGTCTGCCAAAGGAGAATTAGTTCTACGTTTCTCTATGCTTCGCTACTGAGGCTTCAGAATCCCTCTTCACCAAAGTCCTTGCTTACATATTGCTACCATTCATTTTTATTGGCTTCAGTAAAGTTGAATTCCTGTATCTTGATTATTTTTTCCCTAATTCATTCTCTGAGCAGCTTGAAAGAATTCAACAGAAAACAAAACCTCAAAGCGCTTGTATAATGAATTACCCTCAAACGAGATGCTGAAAAAGACAGAGGAGCATTTATCAGGAATGTTTGTGGGCTTGGTGGTTATGGGCTTAAAAAATATTCCGTGGAAAGGCTTTTGTCCCGTGACGGAGATTTAAGAGGCTGTGGGTTGGGATTCCAGCAGGGGCTCGGGCCTGCGGTGGTGTTTGAAGC